GTCCCCTCTCTGGACACATAATAGCCCATCCCACAGGTGGACAGGATCTGCACCGCTAACTTCCTGTGTCAGCAGACTTGAGCATCTTGCTCTCGGTCACTGGCACTGACACTAAAAACAAGCCTGGGTTTGACATTAGCCACATCGAGGGACACACTCCTGATTTCTAACTCAGGCGATACAAATTTTATTTCTGATCACCCAGCAAATTCTTTTTGGAGTCCTTTCTGTATCACCTTCGCCCATGTATTGTTTTTATGCTCAACAGAAGCTGCACTGATAGACTGCCAGTAGGGTCAGCCGAGGTATTGCTTAGTTGGAAGAGAGTCTTCTGTGGATCTAGATTTAAAACAAGTGGGGGAGGGTATCAGTTATATTATAAAGGAGGTCCCCTTGGGAAAAGGGATAGAAGCTTCAGATTCGATGAGTCTTAAATAATGGTTCACCTTTGCTGACCCCAACATCGGCAAGGGGTAGCCAAAACCAAAAAGACAAGTTGCAGTAAAAGGTTAAAACCCAAAAGCAGCCTCCTCGCCCTCAACCAAATTAAGATCCCATAAAGAGAAAAAACTAAAGCTCCCTCCAGAGTAGCATCTTTAATGGGTGGAAACCCTTAGTGCTTTGGCAATCAATCAAAGCCAGCCCTCCAAATTGTGACAATGTGGAGTCCCACCATCCTAACAGCGACACATAGTAGCCCGTGCCCGACACTAAGCATCCAGAGTTAAAGTGTTCACATAGTCAGGTGGGGCCAGCCAGGCACAGTTTGGTTTCTAATTAGCAGTTTAAGCAAGTAGGGTTATGCTCTCTGAAGTAAACCTCTAGAGGCTGACGGAAATAGTGAGCTGACCACCGGCACCTGTCACCTAACAAAGGTGGTGTGTGTTCCGTTCCCTAACAGATTTCTTGAGTCTGACTTCCACAACAGTACAGACTCATTGGTAAAGGTCATTTAAAATCTTTTTTTAAGGAAATTATTTGGTTCTCAAACAGTTTTTTTTAAATATTATTTATTTTTATTTATATGAGTACATTGTAGCTGTCTTCAGACACATACCAGAAGAGTGCCTCAGATCCCATTACAGATGGTTGTGAGCCACCATGTGGTTGCTGGGAATTGAACTCAGGACCTCTGGAAGAGCAGTCAGTGCTCTTAACCGCTGAGCCATCTCTCCAGCCCCTCAAACAGTTTTAAAAGGAGTGTTACTGCACTTTAAATTGTTCTACTGGTTCTTAATTGTGACTGGTTGCTCCTCAGTTCATAGCAGCAGCTAAAGAGTTATCATACACCCAAGCACGGAGCCCATACACCGTTTTGGTGGCTTGGCCCTGAACTTTCTCAGTCTGTTAACCTTTCGCCAGACACACCAATCCAGATTCCTCCGTCTGCTGTCACATTTTTGAATCACAGAAATGTCAATTTAGGACAAAAGAAAGCAGTATGTGATGTTACTAATTCCTCACACACAACCCCCATCTTTAGTAAAAACTGTCTGAAGTGATTCAGAAAAAAAGGCTACCTGAGTCCTAACCATTGTCAGCAACAGGCTTCCTTTCTCCCTAGTTTAAAAATCCCACAGAAGTCTGTCGCTGTAAAACACAAGGATTTTAAACCTTTTTTAAAAATGAATAAATACGTAAATAAGCAACTGCTGCAGGTCAGGAGGGAATTTATTGTCCACAGCTGATCACGCCTAAGACCGAGACTGGCACAAAGCGAGTCCTCAATAGTGCTAAGCGCACAGACAACTTGGTTTTCCGATTCTTTTAGTTCAGTGGATGAAAGGGCAATGAAACAAATTCCTTGAAGGACATCCCAGGCCATTTACCACTGGAAAAGTTGAAACGGACCCTTTGTTAGGAAAACAGTGAGAAATGTTTCTGCATTGAAAAAGTAACGAAACTGTAACATCCCTAAAGTTCTCTTCAGTTCCTAGACTCTATAACATAAATACTATGCACCAAGAAAGAGTGTACATTTACCTAAAGCCTGATTCCCAAGTAGAATAATTACCACACACTGTTGGGAATAAACAGCTTTGGGATATGGATGCAGAAATACTAATCCATCCAAAATGGAGACATGTCCATAGGAGAGAAGCATTCTTGCTAAACTAGGTACACTCTGGAAACAGCACCGATGCACTGGGGTCTTCTCAGGGACAAGGCCCGAGGCCAATGGGGGCTTGGAACAAGCTCGGGATACAGATTAAATATGGAACAAACAGCACCACATTAAATTACACATATCTCTCTACCTGGGAAAGGTGTGACTTTAATCGTCAGATTTAAGCATTTGTAACTGTATACACATTTCATAATATAGAAAACACAGCATCTGATAACCTGGGTGTAGCTCAGTGGTAGGCTGAGCAAGAAACAAAGTCCTGGATTCAATCCTCAATGTGGTAAACCCACCACAAAAACCCAGACATTTATGTACAAGTACTTCTGTGTGTTTGTTACATTTGAATTATTACTCACTGCAAATGTCACCCTACAATGTATAAAACTGAGAGCACCTTCTTCGGATTACATTCTCTTTCTCCAGATAGGGACAGTGGTTTGTACAAAAGGAAGAAAGATTTATGTCTGCCTCAAAAACTGTCTTTTTTTTTTTTAATGACTTCTAAAGAACTAAATGGAACTCCATTCATGAATCCGTCCACTTCGAAGTACCTCTTTCTTCCTCATCCCCTTTCGGTCTTTTGTCCAAACCACAGAGCAGATAAAGGGATTGGAGAGGTAGAAAATGTGAGCATTAAAGATGCAGCACAGCCATCTAAGAGCTGGGCTTAGAGAATCTTCTGCACCCACTGGAGTTGTTCTGAACATACTAAGTTACAGATTCCAGAGAATAAACTCAGACAGTCTGAGGACTCTCTGCAGTTTCCTAAAAGCCTTATTCGACTTTGGAGTTCTTTCCTGACCACTCCTACAACTGGGGAACGGGTGTCTTATTTTCAGGTTTTAAGTAATTCCATCTTAATTCCACTGACAACAGAGACTATGCATAAAGAAGCAATCTTCTCTGTATATATATACTTTCAAAACCTCCCCTATTATGTGAATGAAAGGCCCTACACAAGAACTCTGTAGTTTTAAACTCACATATGGCTGGCAGACACAGAGTTGGATATGATTACAGCCACGCAACTGAATCTCAAACTCACATATTGTTCCTATTTAACTGACATATATGAACTTACTAATTTATTGGAAATGTGCGGCAAATTATTCCTACCTCCTCCCCCAACCCTCAAGAATGCACTGGCAATAGGTGTTACTGAAAAAGACACCCCCTACACAGGATACCTGCATTCCCAGATGCTTGCCCAGGCTTCTAAAACAAACATTGTTATTTTAGTTCTTTGAATCTGCGCCCTGAAAAATAAGGGCAAGAGTTAACCTTAGTTTCCTTACCATAGTAATAAAGAGATCAGCCCAGAGACTATGCAAATTCCCTCAGTAATCACAGCCTCAGACCAATTAACAAGGGCATAATTTGTGTGGTGAAGAGGAAGACACAAGTCTTAAGAATCTGTCATTTAACAGTTTAGAAGGCCTAAAAAAACACCCACAGGAACACTTAATGAAGACCAGTGCACATGGGGGGAAAGTCTTTCAAAGCACCTCAAGCTGCAGCAGAAACGGCAAACGAACAACCAAACCGAGATAAATGTTGCAAAGAGCGACCCCATGAACTTTCTGCTGAGCTAAGACTCCTCAGGGGTGCAGAAGGTGTGGGGAGTGGGGTGTGTGTGTGTGTGTGTGTGCGTGTAGAGGTGTAAGAGGGGAAAGCCAAGAGTCTTAGCATCTGGGGTTTGGCAGCTTTGAACATCTAATACTTTTCTCTATATCTACAAAATGTCAGGCCACCACCTGAAGCTAGCTGTAAAGTTCGAAAGGGAAAATAAAAAAAGATAGGGTATTAGCCAAGGAAGGACTCTACCGGAGTCGCCCCAAGGACAGACTAGGCAAAAGTGGGCTACTAACGTTGACAAAGAAAAAAACCAGAGAGAAGCGGACTCCGCCTTTCCCACTGGGCTTGGCTCCTTTCAATAAAAAGGAAAGGCGGCCGCCGCCGCCACCGCCCCTTCCCTCCTTTTCCACGAGGCTGGGGAGCAGACCCTAAACTACATCCTCAAAGTCCTACTGGATCTGGCTGGCTCCGGAGTAGGAAACCCGGAGTCTATACTCCAAGAGGCACAGCCCGTGGCGCATACCCCAGCCCAGAGTCCGGATAGGAGCATCCCCTCCCTGACTTCGGGTGCTGGGGCACTTCTCCAGGCACCCACCCTCCCTTCCTCTTCCCGGAGCCCTGCATTCAGTACTGCCGCCCCCGGCCTGCCAGCCGCAGAGTATTTCAGGACTTCCACCCACCCCGAAAGGGAGCCCTTTGAAAACTTTGTGTGTGTGCCTAGGGCTTTGTCCACATCCTGGGCAGGGCCGGGTCACCCGGGTGGGCGCCTGAGGGTGTCCGGAATTTCACAATGCACCGAGGGTAAGCCACCATGGAAATCCCACCCCTTTGACCCGCTTCTTCAGACCAGCCGTGTGAAACAGCGCTTCAGCACCCAATTCTCATGCCCCGATCGCCCCCCAGGGCACGGGAGATCCGCGAGGAAACCCTCCTCAGTCAGCGCCTTCCTTCACTGTCACCAGCTTAGCGTTGTGCGCCGGGAGAGAGAGGTAGCTGGGGAAAGCAGCAGCTCAAGCAACCCCTTCTAAGGACACCTCACAGAAGGGTCCTTTTCCTCCCTGAAATAGGGGCGCCCCAAGGCGATCTGATGTTGCATCAGGTAGTCTTTGAGCCTGCGGGCTCCCCTCCGCCCCAGACGCGCGCCCAAATTCATGCACACACCCACAGCCCCATCAGCCACCACCCAGAGCCCCCCCCCCCCCCGTCCCCGAAAGTCTCCACCCGCACGCGCCCCGAAGCGAAGCCCACCCGGCGCCCCGGGATCAGCGCGCTAGAGAAGCGAGGCCCCAGTACTCACACTCGGTCTCCCCACCGCCACGGCCATCGCGACTGTGGCCCTGGCTGCTCCCGGCTGCTCTTCACCGACACTGGCTGCTGCTGGTGCTCAGGCTCCCGCTGGCCTCCCCCGCGCCTCCCTCGCGGCTGCGCCCTGCTCGCGCCCGGCTCCCGCGCGCCTCCAGCCGCATCTGCTCGCCCGCGCCGCCCCGCCCGCTTTATTCCAGCAACATGGCCTCCCGCCTGGACTCGACCATTAGCTGCCCCGGGACGGGGGTGCAGAGAGAGCTCCGGCCTCTGCCGAGCGGACAAATGCGGCGGGTGAACCATGCTCCTGGTCAGCTGGTAGGATGATACTATATGAAGTCAGTAACCTTACTTCCTGTGGCTTTCTTCCATCCCACTAAAGTGTCCTGTGCCGGTATGCTACCCGACTCTCCCCCTGATGCACCACGTGCTGGGGTCCGCGTAAAAGCCCAGGCGCGGAGGTCCCAACCCCGAGCTGCCACGCGCTGCGCGGAGCCGGCACCTGGAGCTGCTATGGGGTGGGGCAGGGAGGCTAGGGGACCACAGGGTGCAGAGGTTGCACCTCTGGAAAGTTGACCTAGTGACACGCCTCACCCAGAGGAGCCCGCTTAGAAGGTGCGGTGGGTAACCTACTAGGGCAAAGCGCACCCCACGAGGAAAGAATTGCCCGTCTGCTGGGCCTTCCATCAGAAAGGAGACTAAACCAGCTGCTGGAAGCCGTCGCTGTGGCCTGCGGCCGGGCTGGGGACCGCTTTTCGAGAGAAAGAGGACGTAGTCGTGATCGACCTAACCACCGGCTACTGGGGACAGGGAAAAATAAATTAATTAATTAAAAAAAAAACCCTCCAGTGCCCGCTGGAGATTTTAGGCCATTTGTGAGCTTTCTCCAGAGTTTTTCCCACCGTGTCACTGGAGAGGTTACTGTTGCAGAGAGGTCAGTGGACGTGTCATTGGATCCCGGAGACAGACCCAGGGCCAGAGGCATGCAAGCTCAACCTCGGCTTCGGGGTGTGCTGCACAGCGAAGGCGCGAAGCGGGTGACAAGTGGGTGCGACTCACAGTGGAGGGAACTGGGAGGGCTCCTCAACCACTAAGAAGGATTTTTTTTCCAGCAGATGTTGGAATTATTACTGTGTCTGGGAGGCAGGTGAAATGGTGGGGTCCTTGTGTATGCATCTGACATAGGCTGAACAGGGAGAGGTGTCATGTACTGTGGGTGTCCACGCATGGTGGACCCATGATCACATGAGGATAGCTACTTGATTGAGTTGAGGAAACCAGGTGGCTTGAAACGCAGGGAAAGAGGCAAGGGGCAGGCTGTATTCAGCCCACGTGAACGTAGGTGCCACAGGAACTGAGAGTCTGACCTGAGACTTCAAACATCCAAGTTTCTGGGGACCCACTTTTGGCCACGGGGTTCAGACGCTCTGTCCGGCCTTTGGCTGAGGGTAAGTGGCTCTGTAGCATTGGTTCACCTGTAGCTGATCTGATGCTGGACAGCTCTGGTAGGTGAGGAGCTAGAGGCTTCCTAGAATGAATCCCACCCTTGGCTGTGGAACCTAGGGAAGGGTGTGTTGAAAGAAGAGGGGATCTGATGTAAAACCCGGTTCTGGCTCAGTCAGACCTGAGCAGCACTAACTTGTTCTTATCACTTTCTGTTCTATAGATAACTTGTCTTTTGAGAATGAGGACCTCATTCACACCATTATACAGTGAGCAAAACCCTGTTGAGTTTGTAAGATGTCACCCGAGTGAGTGCTATGTAAGAGCTATCAAAAAGAAGAACGACCTTTCCTCTGTGACTCTAATCCAACGCTTCCCTGCTCTTTGGGTGTGTGTGTGTGTGTGTGTGTGTGTGTGTGGTCAGGGCAGGTGCATATGAGAGTTGTTAAATTGCTAAGATTAAAAGGGGAAGTCAGTGCTATATATAACTTCAGATGACAACAGGCAGGGACTGTGACTTACTTTCACCCCAGCCGTTGTTGAAGATGAACTAGGCTGTTAAAAGGTCGTCATAGTAATAATCATCTCTCAATAGACTATGATCTCAAGAGTGCTTATTTGCCTTTTTTGGCTTCTAGCACACACCATACATGTTGTACAGGACTATCCTCCAAGCCAAAACAACTGCCATCTTGGTGCAAATGAACATCCCAGCTGTGGCTGCTGACCATTTATCTCGCTCAGAGTTGGGAGTGAGGCTCAGGAGTCCCTCACTGGGTATCCAGCTACTTACTACCATGTTTTCTATGTACATCTGCCTTAACTGTACTTGGCCTCCAGGAAGGGCTAGAATGTATAGGCTGAGAAGCCTAGGAAAGGGGGGGTCTCTCTATGTGACTATTAGAATGTCTTCATCCCTGCTGGGTGATGTCAGTTTTCAGTGTAGCCTCTAAGAAGGGAGTACTTACCCTCCACTGAGTAACCCCTCACCTGTGATCTAAGGAAGCCCAATAAACTCACTGGTTTCCAGAGTGATCTTTCGTTGCATGGTACCTCCATTTGTCTGTGGACCTTAGGAGGAAGGGTAGATTCTGCTAATGCCTCCCCCTAGGAAGGTACTTGAACAACACTGCAATATTCGATAAAGTTGAATGATCAATACATGTTTACATATTCTATAAATGTTGGATCACATTTGAGTGGGGATGGAACTAGGGACTAAGACTATGAACAATCAATTATTGCCATAGGCAGAATTTGGTACTTGATCCTAAGGGCAGTGAAAAGCCCAAGGAGTTAGTAAGCATGGGAGTGACTTCAGATTTTCATTTTAGAAAAGATATGTAATGAATTTTTAACATTTTCCCTCATGTAAGATCAATGCCCCTTTTTAGTGGGACCCCTGATAATTTGAACAGATTTTCAAGTAAATGTTGTACCTTGGTAGAAAGTAACTGTATCTTATTAAAGGTTCCTGAAGATACAGGCATCTATCAAGACCCTTCATTTCATTCACTTAATACCCTCAAGAGATTACATGGTCTAAAGTCAGGAGAGGTGACGTTGTTAAATTTGATTCTGGAGTTAAGTGAAGTAAAGACAAAACCTTTGCCTTCTAGATTTATTCTTTGTTTTCAGGTAAGTTATCTAGGTTGTTTCTGTCTTTCCCCTTGCCTTTAAAAAAAAATCTAATGTAAGAGTGCTTTGGCAACAGTACAAGAAAGAGATACATTAAGAAAGCACAAAATATACAATGAGAACAATATCAAACAGATACAATGAGAAAAAGATACAGTAAGAAACAAAACAGATACAATGAGAAAGACCCAAAACAGATACAAGAAGATAGAGTAAGAAACAGGGAGGCTAGGCATGGTGACAGACCTTTAATCCTAGCCTGGTCTATATAGCCAGTTTCAAGACAACCGGGGCTGCAGATCCTGTCAAAAAAAAAAAAAAAAATGAAGTAAAGAAAAGAGGCGGGGAGGGAACAGAAAGAGTTAGAAACCATGAAAACATTCCATTTAGAGAGCAAAGCAATCGATCCTGGATTCTTTCTGCAAAATTATGTGAAGATGTTAAAAAAAATTTCTAAATGTGTACAAATTAGAGAAGAAAACTTAAAACTATTTCTATTCAAAAATGGCATGAACTTTATAAAGAAAATCTTTTTTTTCTTGGATATTTTATTTATTTACAATACAGATGTTATCCCCTTTCCCCATTTCCCCTCCCTAGAACCCCCTATCCTATACCCCCTCTTCCTTTATGCTTTATAAAGAAAATCTTAAGGATACTAAAACACCATTAAAACTAATAAATGCTCAGCAAGATTGTATAGGATACAAGATCAATACTCAAACAAATCAATTGTATTTGTACACATTTGCAATGGACAATACAAAAATTTAGAAAACAATTTAATTTCTATTCACAGCAAAATGAATGAAGAACTTAGGGGAATGGTTTTAAAGACATACAAAAATATTTCTGAAAAACATTTTAATGAAATACTGGGAATTGAACCCAAGGACTTTCCTAGGATTTGTCAGCAAACATTATATAATGAGCTAAGTCCCCAACCCCCACCCTAATTTACGAATCCAAATGAAAAACTATTCGTGTGCATGAATTAGAAAACATAGCAGTGTTAAGGTGACAGACTCTTCAGACATATTTAGATTCAACACAGTCCCTTTCAGCAACTCAACCAACCTGTTGATAAAAACTGATGACTGAAGCCGGGCAGTGGTGGCACACACCTTTAATCCCAGCACTTGGGAGGCAGAGGCAGGTGGATTTCTGAGTTCCAGGCCAGCCTGGTCTACAGAGTGAGTTCCAGGACAGCCAGGGTTACACAGAGAAACCTTGTCTCCAAAAACCAAACCAAAACAAAAAACCGGATGACTGGGGTCCACCATTCCTGTGGACATTCAGAGACCCAAAACAGCCACAAGTTCCAAGACTCACAGTACAGGCTTCAAACTTGACGACAAATCAGGAGCCAGAGTAGCACAGATACAAGAGAAACCTGTTAATAATGGGATAGAATTAAGATCCAAAACTAGTTCTCTGTCTGCTGTCAGCTGATTTTCAACAAGGGAAAATTCAGTGGGGAGAGTAAACTTCCAAGGAAATGGAAATGCAAGGAGAAACAGCAACTAGGTGACAGACAGTTCACGTCCATTAGGACAGCTATAGCTCACAGACCACTGGGCATGGTGGCGAACACCTTTAATTCCAGCACCGAGGAGACCAAAGCAAGCCGATGTCTATGAGTTCAAGGCTAGCCTGGTCTACATAATGAGCCACATCTTGTAGAGAGCCCCTGTCTCAAAAACTAACAACAAAAACCTCAAAGGCTCAAATAATACTGTGTTTGTGAAGATTGAGAAAACCCAAAAGCTTTGTATGCTGTTGATAGGAGTGACATAGCAGTAATGACATTACAGACATTGACGGGCCCCAGATAATTAAGCCCAGTTATGCTATGAACCAGAAATGTCACTCCTCAGTAGATACCCAAGAGAAAGGAAAACACAAGCCACACAGCAGTGTGTACAATGGCATTCACATGGCTCAACACTATAGCCAAACAGTGGAAATAACCCTGCCAACTGATGAACGGATAATATATGATATATCCATACAGTAGAGTATTTATT